CCGAGCGGAAATGGTGCAATGCCAAGGAGTGCCCTGTCATACCATGGCTCTGGGGGTCAAATTCTGGATTGATGCCCGTTTGGGTANTTCTGAGTATATGTGAAGGTAGACATTCAGGATCTAGCAGAGAAGTGGGTCATTAGGGCCGCTTTCCGGGAATGGTTGGGGCCCGTTAAGGGGATGATGCTGTTCGGATGATGTCATTTTACGTGAAACAGACAATTCAATAAGGATATAGGCTTCGACAGAGCCAACCGCTGCTGTACCGCGGTAACACAATTCATTTTTTTTAAAAAGCACTTTGTATAGCGAGAGGGCTAAACTGTTCAGTAGCGGCAATGAGAGGAATTTAGCTGAAATCCGCAGTATGGGGCCCTTATTCCAGCTTTTATACCTTCGCAAGAACAGCGGAACCAGAAGTTTGGACGAGTTTTCGCTTTTCTGAATTCAATTGGATTCAGCTTTGCCCCCTCCCTAACCTTTTACCATCTCTCTCACCGCTGAAATTCCTCTGCCTCATCTAAGGCAGCCGTTATTGCTTGCACGCCTCCTCTCTTATAACAGGTGGACGGAGAGGAAGGCGTAGTTATTGATGTGGGCGGGACCTTTGAAGTAGTAATGGTCTGAACAGCGCCCAGGTATCTACTTTGAGATCCAAATTGGCAGGAACCAAAAAATAAAGTTTCTGAAAGAATTGATTTATTGAGATTCTCGTGAAAGCTTGTTGTCAATCGAGATAGACGAAGAGAGAAAAAGAAAGGTGACGATGCGTTCCAGAGTGGGACGTGAACGAAGTAAAGGTCGGTAATCTCAATGGTTTTGCTGAATAATTTGGAAACCGAGCGGAAATGGTGCAATGCCAAGGAGTGCCCTGTCTGGGGGTCAAATTCTGGATTGGTGCCCGTTTGGGTAAAACACGCTATTATTCCTGCGAGGTCGTTAATTGGCACCGGATTCTCCTGGGAGGATGGAGCTACCTCAAGCCAATGTATGGGCAGTATGCGCCCTCCAACCGCCACACGATTTCGATTGAGAGTCGAATGCAGTGGCACCTCCCAGAAATTAGATTGATCAACGCTCAAAGACCTTAACCTTTCAGACTTTACTGCGACGTTTAAAAATGTGACAGTTCAAACCCTTAAAGGGTATTTTCTAAATGACAGCTTTCCTCCAAAGCGAGGCTGAACTTTCCTTGCTGCTAAAGAAATACTTTAAAATAAAAGCCAAAACCGTCAAAAGTTCAAACTGGACAGTTTTTACAATCAAGCATACAGATGCCAAGAACATGACGAACAATACAGTGTAAGTAGATGAAAAGGTGCTGAAGTTTTTAGCGGTGATTATTCATTCTGAAGGTATTTGCTCGCAGTCTGATCTTGTTTGTTGACCTATAAACTGAACTGATAATGCCAATCGTAGGAATTAGGTTCTAGGAGATCGAGAATCGTCGGATCACTATGTTTCAAGGACCATTGTTCCGAAAATTATCAAATACGTTTGCCGCTTAGTAAAACTGAACCCTTTTTAGTGTCTCTCCCAGAACTCACACTTACTAAGCTTTTAAAGCAGCTGAAAACTGCACTCCTCGACCTCTACAGATCGACGGCAGAGCAGTACATATTAGTCTGTTACTGCTACTTTGTGATACAGAACAGACCGACCTACCTGAAGTCACTCGCGATAGTTGTACGGTAACTATAAGGTAACTATCAAGAGGAAAAGGAAAGGAATTGTGGGATACGCGGGGGAGTGAGTTTGAAGTAGTTGGACCGAAAGATTACAGCCAAACATGCCCCCTGCAGCGCAACAGCGCTTAATATAACATATCAAGCGAACACGTGCTCCCCTCCATAAATACAAAACAGCTCAAATAAAAACGTCCAGACAATGCGAGCTGCTGCATACCCTGGAGGAGCTTTTCAGGGGTTTCTAGGAGATAAGCAAACTCATCTAAATAAACCAGCCCATAGAAGCTGATATCAACGGATATGGGTCCAGCAAAGCCAGTTCTCAAAAAAGGTTTCGAAAGTCAGCGTTAATGATTGCAATTAGTTCTGATTCATGCAACTTCCTATGTGAAACGGATGCCGACATTACGAAAAGAAGTAAAAGCGCTGAAGAATTCCATACCCTGACGGAGTATCTTTCAGAAGCGGTAGCTGTGATAGGAGCATGGTACTTCGTTGGCAGAGCACGACTCAGAACATCCTCGCTGAAGGATTTTTGGTTCATCGCCGTTTAATGGCACAGTTTACGATAATTTTATGGTACCCGTTTTTATTCGAAAAGCAGAAGTATAGATTGCTAATAGTTCATCTGTAATGAAGAAAGCGAGAGTATCGCCGATTTCGAGGAAAATAAAGCTCCTCAAAAGTAGGGAAAATGGAAGTTGGACGAGAGTGCCATGACGGAAATAACATTGAAGGAGTATTCGGACGAGATTCCAATGCAATTACACAAAGAGCTGACTACATCAAGCCAGAACTGCACAGAACTGTCTTTCACTGTCGCTACGAGTCATGACAAGCTGTTCGAACATCTTACATGGGTTGCGCAGCCTCTATAATGCCGTTGAAACTCGACTATCCACACTGGCCAATCTTTGAACTTTTATAACTCCCTAACTAGGCCGTTTTCCTACCTAATAGTGCTAGATATGGCATACGCGGGGACTTCAAGTTCATCTAGTGCGGGAATCTCAGAAATCATTTTTTATCGTGAACTGTGCCTTTAATCCATAGAGGATGGAGAAGGAGGTCAATACCAACACGTACAGTATCCACTTTGCAGCTTAACTCCCTTTCTGAAAAGGTTAGCTTTATATTCAGGATCAGGGCCAATCTTCAACGGTTTGCTTTGATCAACCGAATTCTAAAGAAAAAAACCGAATCCTCCCATCAAAAAGCAGGCCACAGCCACGAGCGCGAGGTTGTTTCCGATGAGCATGTGGGTGGAGAGTGAAAATTATAAAAAACTTTGTGAGAAAATTTATTATTAAATCATTTGAACCCTGTAAACTCTACTCTCCGAGTACAATAACAACGAGCTTTAATTTCTCTAGAAAAGCCTTTAACAAGTAGCCCCGGGAAAGCAAAATTCCAATCAAAGGACTTTCAACAACGATGCATAATAAGCGAGTATCTCCGTAGAAGAATAACAAAAGTATAGATGTCTAGCTAACAACTTTAACAACTTAAGAAATGGGGTACCCATGAATTAAAATAAATTTTCAAAAATATCAGAGCACTAGGATCAAAATTGTATCGATCCGCCATGTGTCACGGACAAGTTTACTTCAGAGATCCACTTTACTCTGCTGCTCATGAAGCACGCGATATTGACGAAGTCCGATCAATAAATCAATATGATCTGTTCCGATCCATTGAGCGAACCGCGCAGCAACCGCACGCGTCCTAGGACGGCCGGCCTCGAGACGGCTGTCAGTTTTCGGGATGGCACCACGCGATAACGTAATAATCAAATGATTGATTCTAGAATATGAGAAACAAATTTTCAAAACCAAGGCAAAACGATCACAGGGCCTAAGCGTTCCATCGCTTCAAAGCAGCAGCTATTTGCTTGGATCGCTGATTTTGTAATTCCTTCAGCTCCTTATTTATGATGTCCAAGTCGGCTGGTTTTTGCCCCTTCGATTGGGTAACCATCACATCGGCTGACGTTGTCGATGTGTTCTGAAATAACCATTTATTCTTCCTCTGTCATAGAACCGATGATGTACTCCGCACTGATCAGCTCTTTTCAGAATGCGCCACACTTCCAACAGACCGTCGAAATCTTTGGCATTCCAAGGTGAGTACAACCTGCACAATGACTTGTAGGGATAAGCCGATACCGAGTCTCATCCCAATTATTTGTTTAGAAAAATATGACTTGACGTGACAGGAATCCGATACATGCACACTGGTAGCGTTCTTGCCAACAAACAGCTCCATCGTTCATTCTGAGCTCTACAGATACAACCGAATTCATATGACGGTTTCCAGGAAGTCGGGAATGTAGGGGCTGATCAACATTGAAATCAGTCAAAATTTTGACTTCAAAAATTACAATTAACATCTACAACTCCAGAACTACATACATTCTGGAAAGCGAAAGAAAGGAATATTTCTTTTAAGAGGTATTTACATTATTTTGTCCAAATCAGTTGTGTGTAATCCAACTGTTGAACCAGTTGGACTACTTACGCTAACCGGGCACTTCAACAAGGAGCACCTTGGACGGAGTAATGAATTTCTGAACAAAGCTCCACCCACCTCCGTGCTTACCCACTCACCAAAAGATTTGATCGTCTTGCTCTCAAGAGCCATTAACTACCTTTTCCCCAATCCAGAAAGTTTGAACGAAAATGTGAACCTTTGCAAGAGTAGCCTTCCCTATGAGAGTACAACTTCCAATTAGCCGGTAGACCAGGCTCGCTTAGTTTTGGCATTTCTAGACACCTTCAACTGTTTTTTCTGACTCTTTCCAAAAGGGAATCGCACAGGTTACCCTTACCGCCCACTCCGGAGGTAATATTTGGGGTTGTCGCGAAGATTACCTATCAAAGCATTCAGGTTTCTCCTCTCCAAATGATGCAATTGAGCAGCTGACACAGATTTATGCCTCTCACCATCTATTTACAATCTTACATGACCAACTCGTCCAAAGACCAAGATTACCGTCAATATAAGGGCTTCATATTGCGGATTTCCAACAGTTCCCTGAGGCTCTCATAGTTGATGAACCATTTTGCATACTCGTCTATAGTATCCATCCACATCCACCTTGCCAGAGGTTTTTGAAAAAAAAAACAAAAGGCAATAAAGAAAAACGAACCTCCGCTCCGACGGGCCTCAGTTGAGTCCAATCTAACGATGCCGTGAAATTGTGGCGAACGTTTCCCATATAGTAAACAGCGTTGCGATTGCCGCTTCCTCCTCCGTAAGAATCCCCAAACCGTCCGCTTCCGTTATGCATCGCATAGTCATCAGGTGACTGCGGGACAGTCTCCACCATGACGACGCCCTTTAAAGAAAATTTCATCGAACGTAGAAAGGATCACTGGGGAGACTCTTCACACTTAAAGCACTTTTTAAATAAGTGTGGGAATTCGAAAGAACAATGATTAGGGAATCCTGATTAGACATGTAACTGCTAACTGGTTTCAGTTGTCGAGGCCCAATGTGTGGAACTTTTTTTCGAAGGCTTTAGAAATTAATCAGGATGCACGGTACGTCCCCGAGACCCGTTATTTACCAAGACAGTTTGGAAGACTTCGCCTTTTCCTCATACCCTAAGAATTATGATTCTTGCATTACGTCCAATAACAGACAGAACTGGGTGATCCAAATCCACAATGAACCGCCTCACCTGATGCTGACCTTCTGATGCAGTGTGGGCGACGTCCATCGTTTGCCCACCTGATTTCAGCAATACTCGGCCGTCTTTTGTGATCACCAATTTGCCAATACATCGACCAGATGGTAAACTCAGTTGTTCCACTGTGGCCTTTTCAATGGAGTCTGGCAACAACCTCCCTTCTGTCGCATCCTGTAAAACAACTTATTTTGGCCGATTTCCTGAAAAAGGCGAAATAAATCTCACTCAAAAGAAAATGAAAAAAAAACACCACTTTTGCATTTCCATTTGGCCGACAATTGTTGAACACAAGTTTGTCTTCTGAAGGTTTCTCCTGGCTGAGGACTTTCAAGATACCAGGCAGTTGAAGCATAAAAAGTTCGTTCTCGCGTCTCTCTAAAATATTATAAATGTCTTCACTAGAAATAAAAATAACACTTTTTTTCAGCACACCTAAAGCCTTTTCTGTCTTTTAATGGATTAAACAAATACTTTCCACGACAATCTCTACTAAAATAGAGGATGAGTAACATTTAAACGTTGAATAAACCGGGAAACACGGAGAACAGCACTACTAATTTGCATGAACATCCCCGGTCGCATTCTAGTCGCAGCCGCTCGTGGATCACGGGGTTCAGTATTTGAGTTTTTGAAGGCAAAAATTGTGGAACTGAAACCCATGGAACGACAAAGGGTTGGAATGAAACTAAGCTAACAAAGATTAAGAAAATGATTTTACATTTTTGTTAGCAAAAGAATCTTGAAATAGAGAAAGATCAGTACCACTCATGAGCACATTCCTCAGAATCCGTGCGGCTTTTCGACTATGTTTCAAAGTAGGACTTTCTTCATTCGCTTCATCATCGCCACCTGCTTCTCTGAAGTTCATTGCGAATTTAAGAAGAACAAAAATTCACTCATCACAAACTTCCAATTGCCATGAGGAATCCACTTAGATAGATAACCGTTCTTTACTGCTAAATCCTAGTAAAAAAAAACCCGAGACAGACAACTGTAAGTATCAGAAACTTTCAAGTAGAAGTGAAGAACTCACTCGTGTACGTGCTCTTTAGTGTCGGTGTCGATTTCAGCCTTTAACGCCTCCTCTTCCTCAAGAATTCGAGCTTTAACACTATTATCCATCAGATCAATAAACTGAGACTGAAGTTCGAGGGGAAGCACATGCGGTAGTACGGTACCACACTTGTAGTCAGAGATGAACTAAAATTCAAAACAATAATTAAATTTAAAAATTTTTAGGAAAATAAAGACAATCGAAATGTGATCCCGCACCCCATCTCTAAGAAGCTCGCTTAGTTCCTGCAAGTCTCCTTCATCATCGCTTTGCCAAAGCTCTTCATAGCCAGCATAGGCTGAGAGGACATTGCCAACTTTCTTGTCTTCCTCAATCGGGACAGGTTCCTGCTTCACGTATCCTGTGACGACTGAAATTGCAATAGCTAAGTGAAGTAGGATCTGATGAAACGCACGGAAGCATATGTCAGTAGCCATACCTCCTCCATCACTCGATTCAACCTTTGGTTTTACACGTCGGCCGGGATCTGCTCCGCTTAGGCCTTCGGAGAAGATGCCCGAAGATTCGATGAGACCAGGCCGTTCCTTTCCGCCGTCTTTTCCTCCACGACCACGTCCTCTGCCACCGCGATGTGGAGGGCGACGTTCATTCCTGAAGATAAGCAAATCTGATATTATGAGATTTTAGGCAAAAATAATAGGTTTTTTTGCCAGACAATTAGTGAGAATTTTATTATCTAAAATACATGGTAATTAAACAAAAACGTTGTGGACATCGGTAAATCGCAGGCATATCAACACAACAGACAACATGAAGGGTCAAGGGAAAGATAAAGTGTGAGAAGAGTCTCAAATGGGAATGAGCAATTCGAAAAAGGTTCTATACATGGCTCTTCACTTGTTAAACCCACTTTTTTCGTTTGGGAAGGATGACAGGAGCAGATGTTTTGTCTTCACGTTTACCAGCAAGAGAAAGATTGGGCAGTACTCCACGTTTGGAACCCGACGGGCGTCCACGAGAAGACATCCCAGACCTGAAATCGAAGCACAAACTAAAATATGAAATAGTCAAAAAACACTATTAACTTCAACGTCGGGTCCAGCTACTGTTCCCTCAAGATTGTAATCGATTAACGCTAGAGCCAACTTTAGCATATAGTAGGTTTCTCAATGTCTGCGAACTCTGCTGAGGAGTAGACATCAAAGAAAGAGAGAAAGAGAAAGAGGAAGAGAGAAGGAAAAAAGGAAGTATAGTCAAAGTTGTGATTCGCGGTATTTCTGCAAAATGCGTCACCTGCAACCTGAATAGTTTTATTTCAGATTTTTTGGGCATACTGATTAAAGGGGTTTTTTAAACAATCCACTAATTGGAACTAGTCTTATCGCCGATACCTCCTTTACGGAAACCGTAGAACTTAAAATGGGGAAATCAAAGATGTCGACCTAGTTATAAACGAAATACATGTTGTGTTTATGACAAGAGCACTGAAAAGATTTTAGTCGAAGTTTCAGGTATTTAGAGGGCTATTGAACCCGGTGCCGACGCAAGAAATGAGTGCCATACCATTGACAAGAACACGAATACATGCACCTGTGAATGAAATTCAAACCAAAACAGTTTTTCTCTACTGAGCCTTGATGGCTGAATGGCACCGTATTAAAGCTGCCACTAAATTGCTCTGCATTTTCTATGCTCAACAAATGGAATCACTTAGTTGAGGTATGCAAGCCTTCGTATTTCAATGTCATTCAGTATGTTGAGATTGAAAACCCTTACTTCGATTACGTCCATGAAAAGGTAAAAAATAAGATCATGCCAGAGTAAGAGAAAATTAACAATGAATTTTAAAAGTGGCCAAAAGATAACCGGGTAGAATGAGAATGAGAATGTGAACAGGAGCCGCATTTGAACCAAAGCGACGCAAGTTCGACACAGACGAATGTCGAGGTGGTCAACCCCACCTACGCATTCAAAGGCATTCAAAGAAGTGACCTTTCAAATGGAAGAAGATTGCAGACGAGACGTAATTTCACAAGTTTGTACGTAAATGCAGGCAATTTAAAAAATACCTGAAGTCGCTCGTGCACTTGCGTATTATTGGAAGCTACAGAAACTTACGCCAAATTTTAATCGTTATGCCGTTAAAGGGGTTACTCCACGGATCGAAATAATCTGCATTAGTTGTTTGGGCGAAAGTTCTTCATATCAAATATACTCGTAAGATGTGGCAAGAATCTCTCTACTCATCAGCGATAAGAAAAGATTATTCTGTACGTGAGAAAAATGTTCATTGAAAAAGTGGCCGAGTAATGAAGAAGACCTGAATCGTTCCGAATGCATAAATACTGGAAATATCTGGCACGAAAATACATTAATTTGCATCAGTGTTCAGTAAGAACATTTCTTCAACAAGACTATGACTTAGATTTTAAAAACTCGATGTGTCCCTTCCCGTTCGTATTTTTCAGCCCGCAGTGGAGCAGAAATGAAGAAATAAGTATGGTTATAGTGATAGCTCTGAAGTTGAAAAAAAGAAGTTATGTGGCTCAGCCAAGGTCGCCAAAGAGGGCCTTCCACATAACCAAGATCTCGATTTGAGATTTATTATCCGTTCATTCGTTACCGATTCCTCCTCACGTTTCCCAACACACCATTAAGTGCCAGAGTGACCAAAATTGATCAAAATAGGTTCTTTAGGTAAAAATAGAAATTAGAAAAGTGCGCTCATGTCCTTGGATGGGAAAAAAATGGAGTGAATGGTAACAAGTTACCGCAAAGAACTGACCTACGCAAAAATAGGTTTACGGTAGTGCGTGAGAGTATGCGAATACACAAGTTACTTGAGGTACTTTTACGTCACAGGATTGCACGTAAAGGTTACCACTTTTTACTCAGCAGTGAAAGCGTTGGCGTATATACAATTGCCTTTTGAAGAGATGACGGAATTGCTTCTATTTTCCTTATAAGGAATTACGATTTAGGAATTACGTTCGCGTACCCATTGCTTTGTTTCAGAAGCCGTCTTCGCCATATTATCGTTGAAAACACCTGGTGGAAGGTCTTTACTGATAATTTTTTGCTATTTAAGGGGATGCAAGCCGATTTGTCAACTGTAGAGGCGATTTTCGCTCAAAAACTTGCATGTGGCGAGCCTGTCACACGTCAGCGTGCTTTCCGTGCTTTACAAGATTGGATCAAGGAACAATCAGCAGCTCGACGTAGGTCTCAAACTGTCCTGGTTAGCCGATTGCTCTAGATCTCACTTTTTTAGCTTTTAATGAGGCGGATATGCTGCGATTATGTAAGGGTCTTCATTATGTGCTGTGGATGCAAGACAAAATGCTATTACAGGTTCGTACCAACCCATACGGTTCCTACGGCAGCGTGAATTTAATCTCTTTTATACCCAGTTGCATTCGAATCTGTTTTGTTTATTTGTTAATTTGGTATAGGAAGAATTGGCCGATAGAATTAGTCAGCTGCAGCTCGTTTTCACCAGAGAAGAAGAACGTGTACTATTTGTTGAGTCTACCTTCAAAAATTTGGCAAAAGAATGGTATCACATAGACCGATGGCGCATGGACAAGTTCCTTATGGTTTGTTTTTATAAATAAGAGCGTGATTGTTCCTTCAGTGCATCCTTACAATTACCTGCCTCTTAGACTTCAATGCCACGTGAAGTCTTGGAGACCTCTCTTTATTCCTCGTTATTCAAATTTTTTAAAACGATTTTCGAGATAAAGCGTTTAGGTATTAGCTTATTTTCATTCTCCTGACTTCATTATCTTTTTATCATGCCCACCTCCTTATCACTTGACTTTGTACACGTAAAATATTCTAAAAGATGAAGTTTGCCACTCACTACCTTTTGGTTTTCCGTTTCAGATGATGCGCCGGCTTCTTCGAGTCTTGTTCGTTCATCTGAGCTCATTGAAATGGAAGAAATCTGTGCGAGAGCCTTATTGGGAAGCTTTTCGTCGAACAACAATCTCAACAGGTCTTTCCTCCGCTCTCATCATTGTTTGTCTAGAATATGCTTGTTGTTTTTCCTTCAGATAAATCTTTTCCCGACGGCTTGAAGTTCCACTTTGCCGCCATTATTCTTGATGAAATGGACAATGCGGGTGCGGTTTTATGATTTCTTTTTCGACTTGAGTCTTTCCTTGTAATTGCTGTTAGTTACGATATTTCATGTGCATAATATTATTATTTATATATGAATTTACCAATTTACTTAAAATTCAACAGTTGAATAGGTGGATGAGTTTAAAACATAGTGGGCAGTTTCAGCAGTGGCTCTGTTCTTAACAACTATAAAAGTCCTACCTTATTGCTGGTTTCATCGGCTGTTGTTTTTAAGGTTTAGTTTTTGTTATTTGTATTTTGTATGAATGGAATCTCTCTTCAGGTGGTACCACCGAAAAACAAATAACGGCCTGCCTAAAACCGTTCGCAGAACTTTTGGGAATCCGGGGAATCAGGTATGCATTTTTGGTGGTTTTGACTTTGATCCACAGCTTTTTTACCACTTATTGGTTCCCACTAGATTTTAAATAAATTTCAGCGATTACCTGTTCGACTCAGTTTTGGAGGAAATTTTCGCCACCATATTGCATCAGAAATCAGAAGAGATTGCATCGAAAATGGAAGCTGATGGAGATAAAGATGTTGAGTCGACAGGTATCCAGGTAGTGCTATTGATCAAGTGCAGGTTTTATGGTCTTTTAAGCTTTTGAACTACCCATTACTTCCAGTTCGATTATGTTGCCTTGGGTAAAATGCTGTTCGACATAGGTAAACAGCCTGAAACTGTATCCAAACGACGAAGGAAGTTATATGATCTTGTTAGGAGGTAAAGCCTTATTCTTGTCTTGTTATGTCACGGTTTTTTCAAGAAATTTCGAGGTTTTACAGATTTGATTTGGCAGCGAAGGGATGTGATCCATACCATTTTGAGCCGCCGAAACCAGAAATAGTGAGTTTCTCCGCCTTCACTCTTCTTTGAAGGTTTTATTTGAATCTCAGTAAAGCGTTGCTTACAAAAAATGGTTTTAATTTTTTACTCAGTACGAAAAAGCATATTCCTAGGAATTGACCGCGAAAGATATTGAAGAGGCTGCAGATAAACTTAAGAAGCTTCAAGAAGAGGTTGTATTGGAACGTCAACGGGTGAAATTGGAAAAGAGGTGTGTCGACTGCTCTCCTAAAAAGTGGTAGCAGTAAAGGATAACATGCATTATTTCCTCTGATCATCTCAGCTTCTTCCCACAGTTTAATGTTATTCCCTTCAANAGTTTTTTATTCAGGAAAAGGCGGCTGAACGATAAGTCTGATTCTAAGAAACCACGATTAAATGGTGAAGATTCGCAGAACAGAGAAGGATCTCCAGCATCAAAAGTCATGAAATCTAAGAAATTATTGAAGAAGAAAAAGAAAACTGAAAGAATTGGTCTTAAAACTAAAAATAGAACTAAGTTTGGCTCAAAACGGAAGCCTGGTAAAATCCATTAGACTTGTCTATAATCATGTTGTTATAAAGCGATATGCTGTTTATTGTTGATTGTTTTTTTTTGTTGAATTCGTTGAGATTTTTGTTTGTGTACGTTGATTTTCTATCGCAAGCTGATATTTGAATTTGTAATAAATATCTTCTACATCCAGTGAGAAGGAAGGACATAAGGTCAGAGTCCTTTGTACTTGGTTCCATTTCTCAGCTGTTAATTTTTATATCTGAAATTTAACTGTGGAGATTTTAGACAGTATGAATGGTATAAAAACAAAAGAAGATCTTGAATTAGAGTTTTCGAGCTCAGGAGAAAAGGAACGAGCCAAGGAGGTTCTAGTAGCACGGTTACGAAAGGACGGCTGGGTAACTGAAGTGAGTTTTTTTTCGTATTACTTGCAAGTTTTCGTAGATGTCGTAAGTCGTGACTCGCTAGGCTGCCATGAATCATCATAAATAAACATAAAGTTTAGTAGGCTTGTATAGTCGCTGGTTTCGAATTTTAGAAACCGGGCTCAGAGCCTATAGTAGTAAGAAATGAAATTGCAGCCAATGACGATATAATATGGTTATTGACATTACTTCAACTCCTTGTAAACACTTTATTCAGGTAAAGGCGATGGCTCGCCGAATGATCAAAGAGCGAGGTGTGGACAATGTGAATCTGGAAATGCTATATGAAGAACTGAAACAGCCTGCACGTCGACTGGTTTCGGAAGAAGCGAAAAAGGAGCTGTATTTAATTGTCAGAGATTGGGTCGCTCAACGTTGTGATGTAGAATTGTAAAGGATTCATCAAAGCCCTCGTGTAGGTCTTTCCATTCCAATCAGTACAAGTGTGCTCTGATGTTATCGATTGTCTGTTTTCCTTCAACAAAACCTGTTCTCTTTTTTTGGTTTATGTAGCTGTAAAATACTCATCATTTCAACTACCAGTAATATCTAACGTCTTGTTTTATGTTACGTATTGTATCATTTGTATAAAAGGGATTGATCAGTACAATTTTACACATATCGGACAATTTCAGTGGTAAGGGGATTGTGTGCTGTTGCAAGTCAGAGCGAAATTTTCAGACTCAGAAACTATAAACACTTCCTCAGCACTTGTGTATCTCACTTTTCAAATCGTACTCGCTTGAAGCAGAAAGTTGGCATAAATCAGATTTATTATGAGTCACTGAGCAAATATTCCAAATCATTCAATTGATACCACTTCAATAAAGTTGAATACTACTAGCTCCTCCAGGTGGCGGTCTCCGGGTGCTGTTGACGTTGTTGCCATTCATACTCCCATTATGGGTTGCGGATAATGGCGATGGCACGGCAACAGGCTTCACATGGTCAATCTTTTGGTCGGCAGTGCCGGTTCTATCCACGACTCGTGGAGCCATTGCCTGAATCGAATTAGGGGCTTCAGACAGCTACAACAGTTCAGCTCATATTATCGGCACATCAATGGTACAGTGAAGCCCTGTGTGCGAGTAGCTGGTGGAGTTATGGAAGCTGTGTGGCTAGGGGTGATGGAAACCAGTGATGGTGGTAGCCGTACGAGGAGCCCACCACATTATTTCCGTGTTCTGAAATGGGCATTGATTTTCAGCCAATAGAGCATCAGTCTCCACCTTCAAAGCTCCGAGCGAAAGGAATGCTGTGTCTTGTGTCTCTTGACCAAAAACAACCACTGAACTACTCCGGCTCGCAAAAGGGACGAATGGATACTCAACCGGAAAATCGATGATCAAGGGACGGCAGGTGATCCATGTGAATGATTTAAAGTGAGAGTCTGCAGTTAGTACCTTCCAAAAAGTGCGTAGTAAACCCTGTAAAAACGTTGGACGAGTTCTCACCCTTACCTTTGCTCGCTGTGCTGTCGTGGCAAATGCTATTGGAGCAAATGGTGCCAGTGGGACAAATCGACCAGCGCCAGCTTCCACTGTCAGCTTGTTATCGGACCATACCACCTATAATGTGCCGTGACAGCGATCAAAATATGGCAGTTATCCAGGGTCAGTAGTTCAACTTACTTTTCCTCGTGAAATTGTAGTTTCAGCGACTCCGTGAACTAGCATTCCCTCGAAAATGTTGAAATCGACAGCCTCAATAGGATAGTTTGGGTGAATCTCTGGATGAAGAGGAGAAAGGCTAGAGTACCTGATGATGAGTGTTTTTCGAGATTGTCCGGGTTGCTTCTGGGTTCCAAATCACTAGATCAGCATCTGACCCGACAGCTATTCGACCCTTCTTTGGGTAGACGTTGAAGATTTTTGCAGCCGTCGAACTGTAAATAAGCTGTAAATTGTGTGGAACGATTACAAATTACAAAAATCTTCCCGAAAGAAACTCCCGAAGTTGGGTGTTAGGCCTTTGAGTGAAGGATGAGGGCTTAGATCGATCTCTTGTAGCTATAAGCAGATACGTCGAAAAATGATTGTCCTTTTTACCTTCATGAGCACAGATCTCTATAAATTAGGTGACCGGCATTGACCCAAACCCCATCCGTAAGCCTGAGTTGAATGCAATTGGGATAGCCTTATTAGAAGAGACTTTGGCCCCAGAAGGTGACAAATGAGCGTGCGGTTGCGAAGCGATAGGCTAGCTGACCACGGCGCACCCAGAGAATCATGCAATCACGACGCTTATTCGTAAGACCTACAACAAATTCTGAAGGTGATGAAGATCAGGATTAGGCTTTTTCCCCATTATTAAGCCCAATAGACGGTCCTTTTTCCTATCCAGTAGGATCGATATGTATCTCTGACGTTAGCCGTAACGCTGCTTACCTTGTGATTTGTACAAATCGCATTGGATCGATTTTTCCTGTGTGAACCCCTCGATCCCA